ACAAACCTAACTTATAAACCAATAGTCATTTCTTTCTCTATTGGATAAAGCTTACCTCCTACTTTTATAGAAACTAGAAAGTAAGCACCTTATATTTTTTATAAGATAAAGATATCATTCAATGAGTATCTTCAACAATTTGGGCAAAATATTTTTTTAGATGGGTCAAAATTTTGAATTTGTCCTTTATATTGGCTTTTTTTAGGGTGGGCATTTGCCCACCCTGAGCACCTGAGCTCTATGAGAATCCGCCCATGATCATTTTTAACTGATCTATCGCTAGCAGGGACACGACATGTGCCTTTTGACAGGTTCGTTTTGCTGCAAAAATGGCATCACTATATTACGGTCACAACCAGAGCATGTATGTTCCATAATGGTTAAAAACCTATTGAGCAATGAATTATAAGTGCACTCTATAAGATATAAAGCCTTTTGTTAACTAAGGTTGACTTAAATTCATCACCTTAGAAAACATCCACCCCAGACCTACAAATTATTCTTGGACGAAGCAACATATGGCTGTCGACAATGTTTATTCTGTCTGGTTGGGTGACTACCTCCTTTGACTAAGTATACCAGGGACCCTGATAGCCCAAGCTGACGAAACCATGGGATCTCAATCGGGCATGTCATCATTCCCCATCATCCGCTTTAAGTGTACGGTGATAAATTTTAAATCTTAAAAATCTCAAAAAAAAAAAATCCAATTTTAAAATTGCTGAAGTTGTGTTATTATACACTATAATTATTGTGGCCTATTTAATAAGTAACCTTAATCGAAAGTTCTCTCTCAGTATCGAGAGGGGTAATTAATCATGCCAGATTGTGCCTATGGGAAACTAGAATGTTTGCCCGGTCTTGGGTCCAATCCAACTGGTCTAGCTTGGACTAGCCTTGGTCTACTTGAGGCGGAATAGAGGTTCCGCCCTAGTCAATGCTGCCTCCTTTGGGGGTGGGGTCCAGTAGCCAAATTAATGATGAATTAAAGAGAGATTAGAAGGAAAATTTCAAATTGAGGGACTATTTTTGAATTGGGGAGGATTTTTGTATGTTTTCGTGGGATGGTTTGCTAACAAAAGCACCAGATCAAAAATATTAGATTAGATTGGGGCATTTAAAGAGTACTAACAAAAATATTTTTGAGAGAAATTTGAAATCTTAAGATTTTGTCTGTGTATGAGGAAGCGAATGTTATGTGAGAAAAAGTAGCTAGTACTATTAAGAATGTTGCAAAAGATGTGCTTGGAGTTTCAAAAGGAAAAACTCTTAATAATAAAAATAGTTGGTAGTGAAATCAAAATGTGTAAGAAAAGATAAAAAATAAAAATCTTTTTTATAATAATTTGTTTAGATGTAAAGACAGTGAGAATTGGAAAACAAATAAAGATGCTCGTAAGGTGTCTAAGAATGGAATCTGCTGAAAATGAGGTGTGGTAAAACTATTGAACCTGATAATATTCCAATAGAGGCGTGGAAATGCTTAGGAGATAAAGCCATTTCTTGGCTTACAAAACTTTTTAATATTATTTTAAATACTAAAAACATGACAGATAAGTGGAGAATGAGTGTGTTGATTCCTAGTTTTAAGAATAAAGGTGATGCACAAGATTAAGCAAATTATAGAGGAATTAAGTTGATGTGTCATACTTTAAAACTATTGTAGAGAGTTATGGAGCATTAGTTGCGGCGTGATACCAATGTTTCTTAATACTAGGTAGGTATGCTATGGAAGTTATTCATTTATTGAGAGGTTTGATGGAGAAGTATAGAGAGAAAAAGGAAGATCTTCATTTGATATTTATTTATTTAGAGAAAGCATATGATAATGTTCCAAGAGAAGTGCTATGGAGAGTTCTACATAAGAAATGGGTTAATAATACTTGTTTCAAGTCATTAGGGATATTTACGTAGGAGTTGTTACTTATGTTCAAACACAAGGTGGTTTTACCAAGTATTTTCCTATTTCAATTGGATTACATCAAGGATTAACCTCAAGCCCTTATCATTTTGCTTTAGTCATGGATGTTCTTACTAAAAATTTGCAAGAGGATGTACCCTGGTGTATGCTTTTTGTTGATGATATTCTTTTTGTTGATAAGACTAGAGAGTGAGTTGAAGGTAAACTCGAATTATGGATGTTAACCTTAGAGTTTAAAGGTTTTCTTTTGAGTAGATCTAAAATCGAATACATGGAGTGTAATTTTAGTAGTAATAGTTCTAGTGGGGGTTTGTGACTTTGAGCGATCAAGTCAGTAATAAGTGTACTCGTTTTAGACATCTTGGGTCAATTGTTCAGAGTGATGGTGAAATAGACGGGGATATTATTAGTAGAATTTAAGTTGGAAGGTTGAAGTGGAGGAATGCTTCGGGTTTGTTATGTGATAGAAAAGTACCTCTCGAACTTAAGGAAAAAATTTATAATATGGTGGTGAGACCTACAGTGCTTTAGGACGCAAAATGTTGGTCATTAAAAGTATAATACCCAAGTATTTGAAATAAGTGTAAGTATAAACTTTCTATAAATGTTATTTATTTTCATTAAAAATCTACTTTCAATTGAGTATTTTGATATATATATATATATATAAGCATATGTCAATTATGAAGTCCATGGTTTTAAGAAAAACTGTGGATTTGGATAGTCTTGCATCTCCCCTGATCACCACCTTCATTTCATCCAACATCAGCTCCATCGTGAGTGCTCCCCAATTAACCTTGGTGTCTCCCAAGGTCTGCAGTCACTTCATCCCAGGATGACATCTGTACTCCCTAACTCCAGTGGAAGAAAATCTTCCCTCACCTGAATCCCCTGGATAGTTAGTATCACTCATCTACAAATCTTCTGGCCTTTCTTCACCTTCCCCGTACCCATCATCACCTCATAACAACCGTCATCCACCAATTTCACTCCCAATTGATCGACGACTTGAGTTGAAATGAAATTGTGGATAGCCCCACTATCAATCAACACCATTACCTCCCTGTCCTCTATCTCTCCCTTCACCTTCATGGTATGATTCTTAGTAAATTCTACCACCGAGTTCAGGGAAACATCAGCCAGATCCAGATGCAGCTTCTCCTCCATCTCCTCTAACTCTCCCTCACCTCCCTCAGTTTCCTCATCACCTGAAACACAACCCCTTTACTCTCTTCTCCTGCAGCTCATTCTTTGTCAGCCTCTTGAAGTTTCCCCCACTCCCTCCTACTGTCTTCTCCTTGGTGGTCTGTCGAATTCCTCCCGTTGCAGGACTCTTAACTGTTAAATGAGTGGTCGTCGTCCTGTAAGTACCTCTTAAGCTCCTACTCCGGGCTCCCCTCTCGATTCCTCTGATTTTCAACTAGTTGTGCTAACTTCATGGCCTCCCCCAAGTCACGAGGCATTAGAACTTTCACTGCTTCTCTGATATCTGCCTTCAACTCCTTTTGTAAGTTTCTATTTCCTAGTAAGGTCTAGTTTTTTGTGTTCAAAAATTTGGGTCCCTCTCCCAAATTTTTGATTGCATCAATTTGGTATCAGAGCAAGTTAGGAAATCCTAGGTTGGTTTGTCAAGTTGTGAGTTTGTCAAAATTTGGTTGTCAAGTTTTGTTTTGTCAAGTCAAGTTTTGTAAGTCTTGTAAGTCTTGGTGAGTCATAGTAGTTGTTGTATGTCTTGGTGTCAAGTAATTCTTATTTTATGAGTCTTGCAAGTCTTATAAGTTTTGTTTGTGAGTTCTAGTGAGTTTTGGTGTGTCATGATAGTTGTGCGTAAGTCTTGTTTTGTGTCTTCCTAGGTTTGTGTCTTAAGTCTCATGTCTTTCTAAGTCAAGTTGGATAAACATCAAGTGGAAAGCAAGCAAGAAAGTAAACCAATGGACCTCACCACAAGAAAGTTCTTTTGACCTGATTCAGATCAAGCTTTTCAAGATTCAAGTGCAGCTACACTCAAGTGCTAAAAATTTTGAAGCAAATAAAATTCAAGAGCTGGATGCACGTCCTTGCCTCCTCCAAAGAAAGCAAAAGCCAACTCATCGGGAGATGAGTTCTCAAGAAGGGGAGTCTGATGTAGACAAAGGGGGGGTCAACCCTAGTCCAAAATAAATCATATTTTGGCTTCCCTTGAGTCTAGTAGTTTTTCATATTTGAGCTAAACTTTTAGTTCATTTATGAGCTGAACTTTAGTTCATTTATTGAACTAAGGGTTAGCTCATTATGAGCTAACATTTTAGTTCATTTATTATCTTTTAATTAATATATATGTGAGTTATTTTTGGAATAGAAACCTGCGGGTTTATTGTTTGGAAAAGCTTGCGAGCTTTGTCCATTCTCTCTTCCTCCTCCTTCGGAAATCCTGCGGGCTCTTTCCAACCTTCGTCTCGACTTCTAATTTCTTTCTTCTATCCGCAAGTGCCACTCCATCAGTATCCTTCTTCTCTTGGAAAGCAACTTTAGGTGTTTTGTAAGAGTCTTGTAAGTGTCATTTGAGTCATTTGTAAGAGTCAATTGAGTCGTTTGTAAGTGTCCAAGTTGTAATAGTTTTTATAATATTAAAGTTGTGTTTTGTTTTGTTTAATTTGTCTAATTATTATAAGTTTTGTAAGTTTCTATTTCCTAGTAAGGTCTAGTTTTTTGTGATAAAAAATTTGGGTCCCTCTCCCAAATTTTTGATTGCATCAACCTTATTGTATGTTAGATGTCATATATCAAGATGCAGATTTAACAAAAAGATTTATTGTTAAGTTGTGGGGTACTCAGTCAACCTTTCTAGACTAATAATTATTCCTGGGTTAGTTTTACATTCATGAAAAATAATTATCCAACCCATTGGTGTATGATAACTAGATTCCCATATATCCTCTTATGACTAAGAAATAAATTTTGATGGTTTCATCTGTTTATTGTCGTTAGAAGATCGTTTGGTAGTATATAATTTTATGTTTATTATTGAAATGTTTAGTTTGAGTATTGTCGTGAGTTAAGCTGTACATCTTTCTTTTTGCTCAATTATGTTTAAATGCAGGTGAGAAAGGAGTTGGACTTATGTAAAGACCAATGTAATGGTTTCAGAGAAAAGTTACGGGTATCTGAAGAAGATATAAAAAGAGAGAAAGACTCCAGGTTTTGCTTGATTCTTTTCTTTCATCCGTGATGCATGGTTTTATTTTATTTTTCATTATGAATACATAGAAATAACATATTGTTTGGTCAATTGCTCTTATTTTTATTATGATGTTTATGGAATCATCACTAAGGCATGCCAATAGCACCACTACTTAAGTACCCAGACAGTGGGACATCCTCTGCAAGGGAAAACCTTGATAGGGTTAAATAGAAAATGTATAGCTTTTAAGGGTAACTACGTTGTTGTTTGATCCTTATTCTAAGTATGTAGGCGTCAACTATGTTCTTAAAATCAAAAAAGAAAAGAGATTCTTTCTATCTCATCTCTCGACTTCATCCCCAACTGACTTGTTGTCAAATTGTCTGGGTTCTTTGATCTGTTCAGCATTTCTGTCAGTTAATCGCTTGATAGCTAAATTTTTGACACTTTTCTGATTCTCTTGTTGAGATGTTGAGATCTCAATGAAAAGATGAGTGAGTTAGCAATATGAGGCTGACAGCTCTCAATCTAGAATGAATAGCGTCTATAGTTAGGAACCATTGATTGGATGTAGTTGGCTTTGAAAATTTGTTCTCCGCTCTCCTGAGATTGTTTATTTTGGATTAAATTTTTAACAATACAAATAAGGAACTACTGTTGACCTATGCGTATGTCTCACAAAGCAATGCGAATCAAATCTAATCAAAATCAACGCTCGTATTGAAAATTTAACTTGGAATCAGTCTATCTCAAAAGTGCTAGGCATTAGGATTTTGAAGTTGACAATTAATTCTACCTTGATGCCATTTAACTACTAGGGATCATCAAAACTGGTGATGAGGCATCCTAATGGTTATGCCTTCAAAGGATCCAGGTGAATGAGGTAAACTTATCCGGTGTTCTCTGACCTCATTTTTTTTTTGCAAAGGAACATTTCTTGGAAGCTACAACTTCCATGATGCATACAATAGTAGTGAAGGTATGCTGAATATATTCATAATATGCTCAATTTATTGACTCTTGAAGTTTAACGGGCATTCTCTTCCTCCACACTTTGGAGGGACCTTGTGTTAGCTTAAAGAACCATAGTACCATGATTGGGTCACTCATTTGAGTTCTTAGGAGAGTTTATGAATGTCTGTGTTCATCACTATAGCAATCCTTTTGCGGTGATAACTTCTGCCATTAAATAAAACAAAACAATTGAACTTTCATCATAGAAGATCATCATTGGCCAACCCCCACTCAGCATTAGAGGGTCATTATTGGCCAACTCTTTTGAGTTCTTAGCATGCCTGATGCATCTCTGATTGCAAAGGTCAAGGATGGTCTTCTATAGTCTATACTGTATTACTACTTGCATTTAGCTTGCTGCATATGTGATAGAAACCCAGGGAAGTAGTAACAACCTTGGAATGTGTCACACCCCATCGTCGAGCATAACTGAGACGGAGAATCGGAATAGATATATCTCATTTAACACTCATCCAAAAATATTTTGTCAGGATCAAATGAATAGGAAATAACATACCCAGATTATTCTAACAGTTCAAGTTTTTCAAATATTAAGATTCTATCCAAATTTTTCAACCTTGGAAGCATATTTAAACATATGGAATCAAATGCAAAGCTTTGTAAACTTTCAAATAACATTTACATATCCAAAAGTTTGTTTGTTCAGCTTCCTACTCTGACCTCTATATACACCAAAACGTATGTACACAAAAGTGCAGTCAACCTACTGTCTAGAGCCTCCTGCAACTGATGCTAATGAACTAAAGCTCAGTGAAATATACAATCATAGTACAATAAATAAGAAACATAAAATTTGCAGTCAGTTGTAAACAATATGGGGATTTCTATAATAATCATTAGTTGTACAAGAAAACAATGCATAATCAACTTTCCACATTTCTTATTATGTTTATGTTTTAGTACTTTATGCAAATCTTATGATGACTATAAATTTTTGCACACTTACAGTTCTCTCCTTTAAGGTTGAGTCTGAATTTTCAACTTTTAGAAGTGATAGCTCTCTCATTTAAAGTTAGGTTTGAATTCCAAAATTTTAGAAGTGAGAGAGCCGGGTACCTCCTGAACGATCCCTAAGGCTTACCTCGTCAAGCCTTTCGCCTTTATTTGTGCGGGCCTCTTCCCCATAACATGATTTTTTTTTTTCATTTTCCTTTTTCATGAACATTTATATGTTCATAACAATATTTAGTGTCATTGATGTAGAATGGGAGGGGCTAGCCTTGATTAAAATTTGAATTTTGAAAGCCTTTCTAATTTTAATATTTTCCAATAAGGAAAGTTATAATTCTTGGTTTGTAACTTGGAGGGAAAGGGGAGAGGGGAAGGCGATTGAGTGATTTGAAACTTGAAATTCAAAATGGGGATGGAAAGAAAAATTATCTCTTTAATTAAGGATGAATTAAGGCTCCAAGAGGGGAGGGGGGAATAATTTGAAATTCAAACTATCCTTAATGGGGAAAAAGGGGGGCGGCTAATAGGGGCTGATTGGGGTTGATTGAGAGCTTTAATGGAGGCATTAATTAGAGAGAAGGGGAGAAGGGTCCGGCCATACGGGGAGGGAGAAGAAGTGTCCACTTATAATGTATGTGGACCCAAGCAATAAACGTGATTATGAAATTAAATCTGATTTTAATTTCAGATTTGAGATATTTAGGGGGTTTCCTTAAAGAGATTTATTAATAAGGAAAGTTATTTTAAATCAAATTCAATTAGAGATTTAATTAGATCTAATTTAAGTAACTTTCCTAAAATAGGGATTCTTATTTATGAAACAAATTCAAATTCTAGATTGTTTGAATTTTGAATTCAAATTTGTTACCAAATTAAGAAGGCCAAAATAGGAAGGGCTTTGAATGCAAGATGAGATTTGTGGAGGAGGTTAGGGGGGGCGGCGACATGCATGGAGGAGAGGGGAATTGGGAGGGAATCTAAACTTCCTAAATCATGATTCTAAATTAGAAAAAGGTAATTAAATCAAATCTAATTTAAGATCAAATTAGACTTAATTTAGAAACATTCCTAAGTTAGCTTAGTTATTTTTAGGAAAGTATTTGAAATTCAAATTTGAATTTCAAATAGATTTAATTTTTCCCCAAATTAGGTAGGCTAATTTTGGTAGATATTAATGATGATTGAAGTCATCATTAAGAGGAAAAGGATGGGGGTGGCCAACAGCTAGGAGGATGGTAGGAGATGGGGTGGTTGGCTAGGAGCTGGTGGTGGAGTGGTCGACGGGTGGAGGGGAAGAGGGTGGCTTGGCCAGCGGCTATAGAGGGTTTGGCCGGCGGTCAAGGGAGAAAGAGATTCGGCTACGGGAGAAAGAGGGGGTTAGGGCGGCGGCTAGAAGGAAAAAAGGGGAATTAGAGAAGGAGAAAGGAAGTGTAGGGAAAGAAAGATAAACCATGAGCCCAGACACATCCTACAGTTGATGGGTGTTGCACTGCCCTCACCTAGGGACTTCAAACCACTAGCCCGGATGCATCCTACGCCTGGTGGACACTACCTTTCCCTTATATAGGGATCTCACAAAAGTTCTTCCCAAAGGACAAGAGTGTAGAAAAAAAATCTTCTTAATAATCCATCATCCCAATACAATAGCAATGACCTCTATGTATAGTCATCAAAATAAATGAAACAAAAAAGGACAAACATGTCCTTAGGGCTTACAAAGGACAATTCACTCAAGAGGGTAAAAATGAAAATTACATAAATAAAATAAAAAATACAATTAGTAAATTAAGATAAAGTGGAATGATCTAGTCCATTGATCTTTCGTCTCTTCTTCAGATAAGCGCTCACCGTTGGATGTCTGCATCAGTCATTCTGTAACATCACATTTCAGCTTGTCGTTTTTATCAAAGAATTAAAAGAACAAGTAATTATCTCAAGTGAACCAGTAACAAACAACATGCTTGATATAAAATAATTGCTAGCACAATTACATTAAGTATATAAAAATGCTCTCTATTTGACTTCAGAGAGCGTGTGGGTGGAAAGAATTGGAATGGGAAGTGCTAAGATAACTTAATATAATATTATTGTACCATAATATAATAACATGCTCTACACTAATTTTTATTGCTAGCCGCAATGTTTAAAATTTCGCAATTGGGTATTGAGGTGTTTTTTGTTCATGAGGCGAGGTGCAAGCCTCAAGGCGTAAGCCTCAAAATAAAATAAAAAATGTAAAATGATAATAAATGTAGTGATTTTGTATATAATACCTAAATAATATGTTAAATGATGACATATTAACTTCCTATTGATTTATGAATTAACAAATTAATATATATATATAATATATAATATATATATTATAATATATATAATATAACAAAAAAAATTGCACAAGATCTAAAGTGATAAGTAAATAATTGCATGAAATAGAATTAAAATTAAATATTATAAAAATAAAACAAATTAAATATAATAAATTGCATAGAAGTATCATATAACATCAAGTTCAACTCATTTTTTTTTTTTTTTATCAATTTCTACTCATTTACACTTAACTCTTAATGAAAGCTTAAATAGTTGGCTACCACTTATGAATTATCGACACTGTCATTACTGAGGTGGTCTTTATCTAAGTTGTTATATAACAAATTTTTCTATCCCCTGCCTCATTCGGTAAATGTAGTGATTTTGTATATAATACCTAAATACTATGTTAAATGATGACATATTAACTTCCTATTGATTTATGAATTAACAAATTAACATATATATAAAACAAAAAATTGCACAAGATCTAAAGTGATAAGTAATAAATTGCTTTAAATAGAATTAAAATTAAATATTATAAAAACAAAACAATATTAAATATATAAATTGCATAGAAGTATCATATAACATCAAGTTCGACTCCAATTATTTTTTTTTTAATCAATTCTCTACTCATTTACACTTAACTCTAAATGAAAGCTGAAATAGTTGGCAACCACTTATGAATTATCGACACTGTCATTACTGAGGTGGTCTTTATCTGAGTTGTTGTATAACAAATTTTTCTATCCCCTGCCTCATTCGGTAGAGTCGAATGTCTTCCAATATACTTGTTTTTAATTTATTTCAATAATATTCATCTTTTAGAAATATTTTCATCAACATAAATATGAGATTAATGCTCCAAAATTTTTAGGGTGGTTGTGTGCATCTTTCAAGTGATTGTCAGTGACGACTATGACAGTGTTGGCTATGTCGAAGGCCGCGGGATGGAGGTAGAGGCAATCGAGAGGAAGTTGTTGCGCTCGAATATGCATGAATGTATGATTTATGTTAGTTTTAACAAAAAAATTATATAAATAGGATGAGGCGTAAGCCTTACGGTACGAGGTGAGGCATGCCTCAAGGCGGGCCTTAGCCAAGCTGAGGCGCAAGCCTCATAAAAAAACTAGAGGTGTAAGCCTCGAGGCTTTTTTCACTAGAATTGCGCTGAGGCGGGCCTCATATTGCGCAATTTTAAACAACGGAGGCTAGTCGTGTGATCCAACTCACAATCATCAGTTCATTGCATGTTGATTATAGTGGAAATGCTGCAGTAACTACAGCAATTAACAATTGCTTCATTTAATAATCTGTTAACAGTAAATCATCTCTTACAATAAACATATTATTAAATGGTAATAAACTGTTACTAAGCTATTAAATGAATACCTATATATAATTATATATCAAAATGCTCAGAATTTAAAATAGAATTTAATGAAATGAAATTTGGAATTTTTAATATGTGGGAGAAGAGGGTAAATTTTGGGGCAAATTGTATGCTTACTTTTTGACAAAATTTTGGGTGTTATAAAAGGAGACCTTATGTGGACTTTTCAAGTGAGCTCATTCGTAACAGCTAATTTCCTCGTTGAACTAATAGATTACTAATTGATGAGCTTAATCTTTTCTGCATGAGAGTTATCTGAGATTCCTGGGAGCCTCAAACATATTGTGCCATCATTCACAGCAATTGAATGCCTAATTAGGTTTTCGGTCCATCAAACAAATGAAACAGAATGTGGTAGATGGGACGAGAAAAGCCATTAAAGAGGTTGTTAAGTTTTTTAGAGTAAGATTAATTGTTGGAGGTCTAGTACCCCCTAATTGGATCACTCATATAGTTATAGTTAAAAAAAAAGCACCAACAAGTAGAGTATGTGTTGAATTCAACTTATTTTAGAATTGTCCAAAGCATAACCAAACTTTCATTTGTTCATTAACACTTCTATCAACTTAGCTGTTGGATATCCACTCGTGAGCTTCCTCAATGTTTTCTCTGGTAATCATCAAATCAAAATGTGATGGATTGCTGATGAAAAAAACTACCTTCATTACAGGCAGTAACACGTTTTTGCACTTGACATGAAATTTGTAGTTTGTCACACGTCATGCTGTGGTGTCTGGCTCTGCTAGGCAAACCATGTTTAAGTTTTGCACGGAGAGTAATCAAATCAATGCGCATTGTGAGTAAGGGCTACTCCAGGTAAACAGTAATGTTTTATTGGTCTGTATTTTCAGAGTGGCTGCGAGGCCGCTTTCATGTTGTTGATTTATCATCCTTGTATCTATTTGTTTCTACAGTTTGTTACTATTTCCTTGATATGCCATATAAAATATATAATATCTGGTTTGCTTAGTTTCTCAATTTGGCACCCATTTATTGATATTTTATCATTTTCTCTATTCTTTCTTGTATTTTTTATCTCTTGTGCAGCATGCTAAGGCTATCCGAGATTGGCAAACTAAAAGAGGAGCTCAACAGGTTTAAAACTGATACTGATGGAAATGAAAATGTAAAATTTTATTTTTCTTAGTTTGAGCGAGCATACTTAAAAATATATATATATCTGCTTTTTGTTGAACTTTTCTACAAATTGTAGGCAATTTGTTATTTGGGATTGGTTTCATCCCAATTCCATAGTAGATCTGCGGAAGTGCATAGTCTGAGGAGTACCCTTCTTAGAGTAACAGGGGAGAGGGACAGCTTGCTTTCTAAAGTTGAACAGCTGAGAGGACTTGGGGATAAAATGGAAATTTTTGAGGGAAAATATGATGACCTGGTAACTTTGCTTCCATTTCTTTGAATAGTAGACTTTTACCTATGGCTTTGCATGATGCTAGTTCCAATTTTGCAGCAATCAAATGCTGAATTCTGTTTACAAGAAATGAATCATAGGATCTCGCGCTTTGAAGTCGAGATAAAGGAGGTAGTTGTCTGATTTTAAATAAGAACTTTTTTCCTTTATTTCTGTTAACCAAAAATCGCTTCAAACATTGATGTGCCTTGTTCTAGAGAAACTGTTGCATTCATGAAAATTCCATGCATTAGTTTGGTAGTTGCGAAATTGCTGAAGTTTTTTCTAATAATCAAAGCTGTCTTTCCTATAATATTACCGATGTACCTTATTGGACTGCTTCCAGTTTCAGCTTTTTGCTCCTAAAACAAATTAGAATGACGGTTCAATTGGTTAATTGCCAATGAATCTAAAATATTTTCAGGGGGCACGTTGCTCAATTATGCATCGCTATATCTTTTGTTTTTAATATTTCTTATTGGAAAATTTCTTATTTCTTTCTTACTAGACATTTGCAAGAGGATGCATCTCAGTGTGTGCTTTTTGCTGATGATACCTTGTTGATAGGACTTGAGAGGAAATTGATGAAAAAATTAAATTATAGAGATCAATCTTAGAGTCTAAAAGTTTTCATTCAAGTAGATCTAAAATCACATACATGGAGTATAGTTTTAGCAGAGATAGATCTAGTGGTGAGATTATGACATTGGATGATCAAGTAATTAAAAATATGCACGTTTCAGGTATCTTAGATATATTGTTGAAAGCAATGTTGAAATAGATGGCAATATTATGGTAGAATACAAGTTTGATGTTTGAAGTAGTGGAATGGATTAGGCCTGTTGTGTTACAGAAAAGTACCCCTCAAAGTTTAGGAAAAAATTTATAAGTTAGTGGTGAGACCTACAATGCTTTATGGCACAAAATTGTTGACCACTAACCACCTCTAGGCCGATCCACCCAAACCCGGCCGCTTGAGCTTTCATCCCGACCAGCCCGTTCGACCAATCCCACCTCGCGGCCCCACCTCACGCAAACGACACAACCATTCCTTCCCTCAAGTAACTCCCCTCACAGTAATAAAACTCTTAGACAAATCACTTGCCCTCTCATTTGACACGGAGATAGGGAATGGAATGCTCGACTCTCTTATTTTCCCTTAATTGGACGTAGAACACCGCTCTCTCCTTCTCGTCTCCCTTGGCCGCATGCTCGACCCAATCCCATCCCTAGCCCATCGTTAAGACATCCGACCAGACCACCTTTTTTTCACACAGGGACTCCAGCCGTGACTCTATTCCGCACGTCAGACCCGACGCACATTGATCCATCCCAATCCGCCTGCCTCCGCAAAGTCGCATGCCGACCCGACCTACGCACACTTCAACATCTTGCTGACCCATATGCTAGCAAACGAAAATATGATTGAAATTGATAATGGGAGCGATGCAACGTGCCACTTAACTGCTCAAATGACATTCGATTGCCAAGCAGATTGTGCTGGTGTGATCAAAATGTCAAATTCAAATCGAGCGAAGATGATCGAAATTAATGATCTACGCACAAGATGTTGTGGGACATTGCCCAGACGACGACCGTTCGCAAAACAGACTTTGTCATTGCGTCCGGAACATCAAAAGTACAAAGAACAACTGTAATATTGCTTGGATTCTTTGCACGAGCGAGAACACGAAATCAGCATGAGTTTTGAGATGACCACACACGAAACGAGGCTACGAAATATGAGAAAATCTTGGAGGTCAGTTTATAAAATAAAGAAACTTTATTTTGGTTATCCTGCCCGAATTTCTGCTCAAATCCCGTTCATATCAATACCGCACATTCGTCCACCCCATCCTCGCAATTCGCTGCCGAACTGTCTCTTCTCACGCCTCTACAAGCCGCTAATCCCTCTATTCTCTCATTCCTTTCCATTCACTTCACATGAACTGCTCTCTCGCTCTCTCCCTCTTCATTTCTTTGTTCGACTCCTTCAGCAACCGACCCAACTCCTTCAATCTCTCCCTCTTCCTCTCGTTCCCAGCGACCAAGAGAAACACAGCCAAAATCCACTCGAGCTCTCAAAACCGAACTCCACCCGCTCCAACCTCTCATTCCAAACTCCCTTGCCTGAACTCCTCTTCCTTCTCAGTCATTCCCCTCCTAGACCTCCCCCATTTGACGACCATGTTGACCCATACATTGTATAGAAAGTGAGATTATAGAAAAGATTATAGAGATAGCATGAGCTTGTAAGAAACAGAACAGAGTATTTTCATTTCTATAAAAGCTCAATTCAAGAATCCGTTTGTATACAGAGTATGGGTATTTATAGATATCTACGATACATGTGCTGAGCTGTCATTAGCTAAGTTTCTTACTGGCTAATTGTTTTGTGCTTGGCCATGTGCTGAGCCGTCATCTGCACATGGGCCTTTACTACTCTTGCTTCCTGTTTTGTAATGAGCGTCTGATATGATTTTTACGTCCCCGCAAACTGACTGTGGAAGGGCTGTAAAGTTTGTCTCTGAGATTTTGAAATCTAGAAGTTGGAAGCGATTTGGTGAAGATATCAGCTAGTTCATCAGTAGTACTTATGGGGACAACATTGAGTTCCTTTGAACTGATGTGATCTCTTATGAAATGAAAATCCACCTCAATGTGTTTTGTTCTTGCATGAAAAACTGGGTTCTTAGCAAGAGCAATAGCTGACATATTATCACAATTGATAACTGTTGGCTGATTTTGTGGAATTTGAAAATCCAGCATGAGCCGTCGAAGCCATATAACATCAGCTGTAGCAGCTGCGAGAGAGCAATATTCCGCCTCTGTTGAGGATCTAGCCACTGTCCTCTGCTTTCTTACTGTCCATGAAATGAGGTTGTTCCTTAGAAACGTGCAGTAACTTGATGTGGACCGTCTGGTGAGAGGATCCGTTGCCCAGTCAGCGTCAGCAAATGCCATGAGTTTGAGTTCGATTTTGGATATGGGAAGACCATAGCCAGCCGTGCCTTTCAGATATCTAAGAAGGCGTTTGAGTAGGTGACAATGTTGAGACAACGGACAATGCATATGTTGGCATAGCGTGTTGACGGAGAAGGCAATATTCGGTATCGTTATGGTTGCATACTGAAGAGATCCAGTCAGCTGTCTGTACATGGACGGATCTGATAGAAGGATGTCCTGAGGTATAGTGGAGGGAATTTTGGTTAAGGGGTTTGATAATGAGTTGCACCAGCCTGAGTTAGAATGTTATGAATGTAGTTGGTTTGAGAAAGAATAAGTTGGCTGTTTTGAGAAGTTATGGTGATGCCAAGAAAGCTGGACAGAAAACCAAGATGTTTGATAGCAAACTGTTTGTTGAGAGAGGAAATAATATGAAGAATATATTGAGAATCGTTACCAGTCAATAATATGTCATCAACATTTATTAAGAAGTATGCTTGAAGATGATTTTGATGTAGAGTGAACAATGAGGGATCTGATGTGCTTGGATGAAAGCCGAGTAGGAGAAGATGACTGGAGAATGTTTTAAACCATTGACGAGGTGCCTGGACCATACAAAGATTTTTGAAGTAGGCACGCGTGAGTGGGGAATTGAGGATCCTCAAATCCTTTGGGTTGTTTCATATAGATGGTTTCGTTGAGAGATCCATGAAGAAATGCATTGTTGACATCTAGTTGGTGTAACGGCCATGAATTGGTTATGGCCAGAGTGAGAAGAACACGAATCGTTGGGAATTTGGCTACTGGACTGAATGTTTCTGTATAGTTTAGGCCATATTCCTGTCGGTTGCCTTGTGCCACCAATCTAGCTTTGTATTTTGAGATGGAACCGTTAGAATATTGTTTGGTTTTGTATGTCCACCTAGAACCAAGTATCGCTGTATGGGATGGTGGAGGTACAAGAGTCCAAGTCCCCTATTGTTGGAGAGCAAGAAACTCACTGGCCATGGTGGAACGCCACTGTGCAAATTTTGAAGCTTCAATATAACTTGTGGGGTCATAAGTGGGCATAAGACGATGATGAAGATCAAAGATCTGTTTGGGTTTAAGGGAGCCGGTTTTGTATCTGGTAAGCATTTGATGTGGTTGAGGAGATGTAGCAGTTGGAATGGGAGGTATTTGTATGGGCTCTTGATAGCAGTTGGAATGGGAGGTATTTGTATGGGCTCTTGAATGACTGTTGTAGCATGATTGGGAGAATGAGACGTCTGTGGGGAAAGGTCTGCATGAGGATGAGTAGGATGATAGATATCTGTTGTGGAGTTTGGATTTGTTCTTTGAAGTGAGGTAGGAACAAGAAGCTGTGGGTTCAGTGGCACAGAAGTATTTGGTGTAGAAGTTGCTATGTTGAGTTTTGTAGCATAAGGAAAAACTGACTCATCAAAGGTGACATGGCGGGAGATGTAGATGCGACCAGAGACCGGTTCAAGACACTTGTACCCTTTGTAGGAGTTGTCGTAGCCAAGAAAAATTGACAGTGGAGACTTGACTGAGAGTTTGTGACGAGCATGTGGAGGTAGTAGCGGGTAACACGCACAACCAAAAACTCTGAGATGAGAGTAATTCGATTGATTATTGTAGAGTAGTTGATGTGGAGATAAATTGGAAGTGGTTGGTGAAGGCATGAGATTGATAGGTGTACAGTCGTTAACAATGTGTCCATCCAGAGCTTATATGGAAGACATGCTGTATGAAATAGAGCTCGGGTGGTCTCCAGGATATGGCGGTGTTTACGTTCTGCAAGACCATTTTGTTCAGGTGTATATGGACAGCTTATTTGGTGGTGAATTCCATGGGATTTCAGATGGTTTTTGAGGCAATGATTTAGAAATTCCATGCCTGCATTGCTTCAGATTTGTTTAATTGAGAGAGATTGCTGTTTTTCGATAGACAGATGAAAATTGATGAATAAAGAGCGCACATCATATTTATGCAATAGAGGAAACACCCATGTAAATAGTGTTGAATCATCCACTATTAAGAGATAATACCGAAAACCTTGATTAGAAGGAATCAGTGATGTTCCCCAAACATCCATATGTAACAATTCCAATGGTTTGTAGTAATGATTAGAGGAATTTGTAAACGGTAATTTGTGACCTTTTGTGGTCTTACAAGAAGAACAA